GCAATGAGAAATATATTCAGTGTAATTTTACGAGTAAGATTCGAAAAAGATTTAGTGTGTATGATTGACTTGATCACCTCTAGTTTGTGAAACAGGGAGGCTGATTCTGATAGACTGTCACATCAAATTAAAGTAGTTCGAATAAAATAAAACAATAGAAGAAAAGAAGTCTAACACAAAATGATGTTAAAAGAATGACAAAGTGTAATTAAAAAGAAATAGCTACTATGACAAAATAATATGACAATGAAAGCAAGAAATACTATGAAATAACAAGAATCTCCTCATTAATTAATGCTTTAATACTAACTTTTTTGTCAGTGTCATCATTCATATCAAATAGTTTTGCCTTAGATTTCATATTTGTTAAAAAAAATCAATAAATAAGTATAAATAATAAATTTCGAACAAAATAGATTATACAGAATGTGATAGAGAATATCCCACTAGAATTCATAAAGTTAAAATCATGGATCAGGCGCGCAAAGCATCTTAATTACCATTGATGAAGTGGTACTGTGGCTGCATCTTACTCTACATGATCTCTGGAAAATTGCATCTGTTTTCAACAATGACACAAAGAAAAAGAAAAAAGGTAAACTAAAGTCAATTAGGGCATTGTGTCACAAAATATAATTAAATTTGACTTATGTAAATGCTACTTCTTGCAATGATAAAAAAAATATGTGTCTTACTGGATGAAATTGTTTTCCCATTGCCTAGCTTAGGATGAGAAAGGGTTATGATTGTGCTTCTATAGCCAACTATCATCCTTGAATATTGTGTGTTGTTTTTGGGAGTGGAGAGGTCAAAAATGAAGAAATTTCTCCTATTTTGTGTTTGTCTTTGATTTTGTTTCCTTTTTATAAATAAATCTTTAGCGGAGAGAAATGTTGAAAACATTTCTAATTGAATTTAATGCAAATTATTAATTTCGTCACTCAATTATTGATAGTCTTAAAAATAAGGGGAAAAAAGTATAAAATAGCAAATTATTGATTCAAATTAAACATTTGTCTTTCGTCACTCTCCATTTCTCGCTAGCATTCTCTCCATCGCCTCTCTCACTTTATACAAACACAAATGTACAAATTACGTTTGTGTTTGTATAAAGTGAAAGAAAACTGTATATATACATATTACATATCTTCTAATTTTGTTCGCCTATCCCTCCCCCACAGAATCTCGCTCGCAGCCTTCCCAGATCTTACCCGCCACTCTCGCTCACCTCTCTAACTTTATACAAATACAAATCTATAAATTGTGTTTGTATAAAGCAAGAGAAAATTGCATATACAAATATAAATAAACATATTTTCGTCCTATACACTTATAATTATATAAATACATATCTTCCTCTGACCAGTTTTCATTTGTCATCTCTTGTTCTCGCTTTATACAAACAGAGATTATATAATTGCTCGCTTTATACAAACAGAGATTATACGATTCATTCTTTTGTATACGTATATCAAAATATACATATTAATTGCCATAGCAAACATAAAGTTTGCTATCAAGTGCAATTATACAAACTATAATTATTAACATACAAATATGATTTTTATGTTTGTTAAACCTAAAATTTACTCTAAATAATCGTTTAATTGACTAATTGAACTTAAAATACACTCCAATCTGCCACATGACATATCAAGAGGTCTCAAACTCTTGTAGGAACGTGAGACTCTTAATAAAATGTCAAAAGAAGTGTTCAAAACACCTATAAAGTTGGCGAGAATTTGGGATTTGTATATCACTGATGTGGCAAGATCAAGGGTGTATATGTTTAAGTTCAATTCGTTAAGTAGAGAGTAGTTTTAATGTTGTCAATAATTCAGAGACAAACATATTAATTCACACCAAATACAGTGAGTTTGAAATTTGACTTTCGTTTAGCCTATGAGCAAACCTTTAAAGTTAATTCAAAATTAAAAGTTGTTGATTTTTAATCATGTTTATGAATCAAACGTGATCAAAAGGTCAAAATCAACTGTCTCCCAAATAATTTTTATAAACTCGAGATGATTTGAAATTTTTTTCAGCCAATAGTTATATTTTCCAATGTCATGTTATTAAAAACTTGAGGCTAATTCCATCCTGTAATTTATGACTATAGTTATAGTTATCTTAGACCCTTAGCTGCGCTATAGTCAGACTTGATACTATTAAAAAGTGTGCGATTCTGATTTTTCAAATATGACGATTTGAGAAAATTGATAATCTAGAAGGCTATATCATGAAAAAATTGTAAGAATGATTGAAAGATAATAAGAATATTTTGAAATATCTCAACCCTACCACAAAGTTTTACCAACCTATTTTCTTTTATATAGATATGAGCTATATGACACATGGAAAATACAATTATAGCAAGTAGTTAGCGGTGAATTAATATTGAATTTTAAAGGGAATAATCAATGGACGATATCACTCTTTCAATTAAATAAAGGGATAATTGTATAAAATGACAAACTAATAAAATAAAATAAATATAGTAGCTATCGTTTGATTTATTTGTGTTCTATAGCAAATTGTGTGCTAGTTCCTCTCTCCCTCATATTCTCGCTCGCCACTCTCCCTCTCTCACTCGATTCCTTCACCCGTCTCTCTCGCTTTATACAATAGAATTGTGGAAATTCTGTTTCTAATTGTATAAAGCGAGAGAAAAATTGTATATACAAATGCAAATTCATAAATCTCCGTCTTATACACTTATAATTATACAATAAAAGTACTTCACTGCCCAAGTCTCTTTTTTCTTTCTCTCTTTCTCATTTTATACAAATTCAAATTGTATATAATTTTTCTCTTTCTCGTTTTATACAACTAGATTCAATTGTATATTCCCTGTTCAAGTCTCTTTTGCCTTTCTCCCTTTCTCATTTTATATAAATTCAAATTGTATATAATCGTCCTACACACTTATAATTATGCAAATACAAATCTTCCTTTGCCCAATTTTCATTTGTCTTCTCTCGTTCTCGCTTTATACAAACAAAGATTATACAATTGCTCGCTTTATACTAACAGAGATTTTACAATTCATTCTTTTGTATATGTATATCAAAATATACATATTAATAGCCATAGCAAACATAAAGTTTGCTATCAAGCGCAATTATACCAACTATAATTATTACATACAAATATGATTTTTATGTTTGTTAAACCTAAAATTTACTCTAAAAAATCGTTTAGTTGACTAACTGAACTTAAAATACATTCCAGTCTGCCACATGGCATATCAAGTGGTCTCAAACTCTTGTAAAACGTGAGACTCATAATAAAATGTCAAAAGAAGTGTTAAAAACACCCCTAAAGTTGACGAGAATTTGGGATTGTATATCACTGATGTGGCAAGATCAAGGGTATATATGTTTAAGTTCAATTTGTCAAGTAGAGAGTAGTTTTAATGTTGTCAATAATTCGGAGTCAAACCTATTATTCACACCAAATATAAAGGTATTTTAAATATTTTTCTCTTTATATTATAATATGGAAAGAGCTAAATGGACAAAAAAATTGACTAGAAAATTAAAAAAAAATTATAATATTTTTTTATTTTATAATAAACTGATTTTTTTCCATTTTATAATTAAAAGAAATTAAAATTAAAATAACATAAAAAAATATCGTTGTGTCCAAATTTTTTGGCCAAAAAGATTTTTCCTTATAATATCTCACTTTGGTGTAACGTTGATGTGTAATTAAATGTAAAAATGCACGTTTTGGCCTATTAGCAAACCTTTAAAGTTAATTCAAAATTAAAAGTTGTTGATTTTTAATCATGTTTATGAATCAAACGTGATCAAAAGGTCAAAATCAACTGTCTCTCAAATAATTTTCATAAAATCGAGATGATTTGAAATTTTTTTCATTCAATAGTTGTGG